TGCCCAAACCATCTCAGAATTCCTCTTTGATGAAGAGATGCCATAAGCCACCAAACCACGGAGCAGCAGGTCTCTCATTGGTTTTGTTTGTATCTCTGCTGCTGCTTAGAAACCAGCCCACAAGGTGTGCTCCTTGCACCAGGCTTAATTAATTGGTAGCATTTTCTGTGAGGAAGTAGTAACAAAAAAAAAATGGCAGACACACTTTTCTCAACGCTGTTGCTGACATTGAACATCTTAATTAGATTTGGTTCAGTTTGTGTGAACGGCAGTTAAAGTGAGGAATTTACTTAATACGATACGCCGGTTATTTTTTTCAGCTGTGCCGAGGCAAAACCTCACACCCTCGCAAACATGTGGCATAAACATTATGAGATATTCTTAGAACGTAACATCTATAATTAACTTAAGCCACTCCAAGTACCATGCATAGCCGTATTTAGACCATCAAGAGCAAACATTTAGGCCTTACTTTACAAGAGTTTGCCAGCAAAGCAACATGAAAGGAAATAGATGAGTCATGTGGATTTCTAATGCGTCAGCTCTATAACCATTCCACTGGAAAAGGTACAGCACTCAGAGAAAGCCAACTAAAGTTAAACGTATCTCAACTGAGCTGTGATGAAGCGATAGGGCTACGCTATCTGTTGCACCATTTAACAGCACTATTACACAATAGTTCAATAAAGATAATAACAGTTCATCATCAGTTTGGAATGCAGAGGTATAATTATTATTACAGTTTTAAACTTGGCCAGGGTTAATATGATTAACTTAGTATCAACTGTTTACTCACTATAATAAGCACTAACGCTTGCACCTAAGCAACAATAAACACAGCGTTACAACCCCTACATGTGAGGATAAACATTACATCATCATGAACTGTCCGATGCTGATAATAAACATCAGAACAGTTGGTAACGAAGTAAATATTGACACAGATTCAAGTCTATAACTCAAGTGAAAGTCATGTCTTATCACGTCCATGAATGGAAATGCACCAGCAGGTTTAACATCACCTCGACACGTTCGACGGTAGCTAAACAGAGAACACACAACTACACCGAACTGCACGGCAGTAAAACCAAAGATCAAACCATCAAATGGGAGGAGGAATAACATGCAAATACATGTGCAAGTGAAAAATGTCAAAGTGCAAAAAGGAGGCCGAGAGGGCAGATTTGAATGTGCAGGAGTTATTCCATGTTGAGCATTATTACAACCTGCAGCCCTGTTGTCCTCCTAGCACGAGCTCCACAGCAGCGGCCCGGTGGCAGGAGTTCTAACTCTTTGCACGGGGCTGGTCAGGACAGTCTGGGTTGGCCTTCCAGACGACCCACATTCTGTAAATACCTCAGAGCATTTTAATGCTAAATTAAGAAGCCTGTCGAGCCTATAGTCAGTGTATGGAAAACGTGTAAAGATTTCCATACCAGACAACAATGAAAGAGGGTAATCCTCTTTCTATTAAATTCCAATAAACCAGAGTTGACACAGCAGGAAAACATTTCCCTCCAAAAGAAAAGACACAGCTGCCACCGTTTAAATGGCATTTATATTAAAATCAAAAGATTTTTTTTCCCCCCTCCAGAACAGCAGGCGAATATGTGTAGTGGTCCCCCAGCTTGACTGTCCTTACCCTCAGGTACATCCACACGAATACCTTTTTTTGTTTTAAAACAGCGTTTTAATGTTCACATGAACATTCACTTACACTGGGCAAGCAGGTGCCGATGTAAACAGGAAGTAGATTGCTTGCTTAGTTACAGAAAATAGAGTATTGTTGTTCTTTATACCAATAAAAAGTTGTGCTTGATACTTAAGATCTTCCTCTAGACTTCCCACACACGCACTCAGACAAATTCAGTCGGAAAAAAAGCTGTATTTTTCAAACTTACATACAAGGCTGCAGGTCTTGTACTCTCACACACATCAAAATGATTTGAAAAAAATCAAAACTATTAAAAGTAAAGTGTGAGTTAAACTGTAAAATATAGTTTTAAATATAAACAAAAAGGAAGATAGTTCCTTCGTCTTCCATTTTGTTTATATTTTGTAGTATATCTCCCATACTTTTCTTTTCTGAAGGCCAAGAGACAGGACAAAACAATAAATGACTGTCAACATGCCACACCATTATACAAAGCAGACATATTCAGGATCCATGAAATTGCATACCCTCTGCATGAATACCGAACAGTCTGTGAACTTTCTAGAAAGTCGCTTTTCCCCAGAACTGAACGGGTCTCTGGCCTTGGCTGTGTCACAATGTTTATGATTACAGGCAGGCGGAAGAGTTTATTTTCCTCTGCCTCCACAAGTTAAATTATTACTTCTGCGTGCATGTAGACATTCAAGAAGACCGATGCCTTCATTCTGTATTGCGTGCATGTGGTCACAGGGTAATACGTCTTGAAGTGGCAGCCCAGAGTTTGTTTTCTCACCAAATCATAACTCGAGCAAAAAGGTTTACATTCTTTGCGTGGGCTCTCCTACTGCGTGACATCACAGTCCTCTGTACGCTTTACATAAACTGAGGCTCCAAATCTTCACTTAAATGACTCATTACTGAATTGGCAAACGGGGCGGAACATAAACACGAGCCACGAGCAAAAGCCAACAGTAAAACACTTGTAAAATAAATTAAAACTTGGAAATAAAGCGTTAGCAGACGGCAGTCTGCAGGGATTTAAACAAGCCTTGCCAAGTTTAGGATGGGCCGTTATAAGGAAATCATTCTACATTATCCTGAATGTCTCGAGGTGTATTCAAGGTGTACTTCCAGAGTGAATATAAACATGGTTGCAGCAATGTTCTGAAGACACAAGTGGACATAACGTGAGAGTAGACAGGGCAACATGTCAGTGATAATCAATATAGTACATGTACATTACTTTCAATGCCAAATGTTAGCACGGAGTGAATTTTGGCTAAATAGCAGCCGTTTTAAAATTAACTTAAAGTTTTTTCCCATGAACCGACAGGACGATGACAATGTGACAGCAATGTTACAACATCTAGTAAAAAAACTTTTGGGGAGCTATCATTTCATCCATCTTTAAATACATTCTATGTTTTAGGCTAGCAAGTCAATTGCTAATAATCAGAAATCCTGATTTGTTCAGATAAATATTTGTGGCAGCCGTGCTTTGAGCAGATGGGTACTAACTCTCTGAGACAAATGATTAATTTGTTTTGAACTCTTATATTGTCCAATCCAAAGAGCTGCCAAGGATTTTCAGGCCCGAGTAACTCCTTCCGTCTCACTTTTAGACCTATTAATCAGCTCATCTTCAAAGCTTGCTGTAGGCATCAACAGGAGATGATGCAGGACTGACCTCACTTTAACTCTTTGCAGATGATATATTCCTGCTGCCCTAAATTTACAGGAAAGGACATTTGGCTCTTAGAAGGGAACATCCACACACGTTTTTTAGAAACAGATGCATTATGTTCCTCTGAATAATTGTCTCAGTCTGATTCAAGCAGCATGGGTGATGAAAAACAACCAAGAGGAAGGTTTAAGCTATAAAGCAGCTGAAATAAAGAAGAGAAGCCATTCATAGAGCCGATAGATCAAATATTGAGCAGGATGTTGATAGCCATGATCTCATTGTTTCATTACCTTAGACCTCCAGAAGGACCTCTTTATTGGCTAGAGATGACATAAGTGCAAGCCAAGAACAAAAAGCCACTTTGTGCACATTTCAGCCTCAACTTCACTTCCTTCTAATCCTGTCACACTACTTTCATAAAGTAGACGAGCCTTTTTTTAGCTCATTGTGCCCAACGCTGTTTAGCACCATTATTAGCTGTAATTTACAGCGATATGAACTGGATGTGGAGACGCGGCTCTGACGTCAGTATCGGCCAGGGGTCAGGTCAACAAGGGATCATGAAGACTATCCTCTCCTGTTGTCCAAGTAGGTGTAATACTACCGGTTTCCCTTTAGGGAAAATACGCTCAGGGAGCTGAGATCTAACAACAAAGATAAGCAGGTCACAGAGCGGCAGGGGATAATAGTTGGAAGTCCTGGCGTTATGCACTAGAGTGAATTACTCTTTGGCAGTTGTAGGTGGGAGGGAGGAAGAGTGGGGTGTGCAAATTGGAAATCGGCCCCTTCTCGATGCCAGCTGTCAAACTTAACTTGGTGATGTGTAGCGTAGGGTGGATTCAGAGAGCCGTAATTTCTGTTTTCATGGTGTGAAATAAGGACATCTGCACTGGAACATTTCCGATACAAAAACTGAAATGCATCTCAGGCCCGCCGTATTCTGATATCCAACAACTAAAGCTGTTCTCTACAAAAGAAATTCTTAGTCAACTGACACCGATACGATTTCGTCGACTAATCAATTAAGCGATTAAATCAACAGAGCCGTAAAACTCCATAAAGGATCAACAAAAGCACCACTTAAAATCTTGTGTTTACCAGAGATGTGCCAAGTTTCTTGGAAATAGGTCACTCAGCATGAAAAGACATTTAAAAAATGACTAATCCACTAAAGAAATCTTTAGAGGGGGCAGCCCTACCATTT